GTCTGAGTTTCTCGTTAAAAGTTCTGTTATATAGCTCAGAAAATTCTTTTCATCTTTGACGCACCTAAATTTTAAACTAGCCCTTTTAAGGTTTAATTCTTCCTTAAGTAGCAGCCAATCGAGTCGTCTAAAAAGCATCTCGCTTCTTTCACCGATATCAACATCCACGATTACTCAAGCTGCTTGCTCTTGCAGCTTGGATACGCAGTTAACGTTCTCTTTTGACGCAGTGCACCATGCACATAAGCCATACAACATTATTGGCTTGATCAAGGCGTTGAAATATAGCTTATGCTCAGCTAGAGGCAGGTTAGGCTTAATCTTCTTCAGCACCGCAATACGTTGTGACACTTTTTGACAAATGTCATCTGTGTGTTCAGTAAAACTCAAGTGATTGTCTAATTTTACTCCAATTAGTTTCTGTGAAGTTACTTTCTCAATCTCACTACCATTGGATGGTAATTTAAGATTCATGTCTGGAGCTTTCTTTTTTAGTCGTTTGCCAGTTACTAAAAGACTTTTTGTTTTAGAGGCATTAAGTACCATCTTGTTTTCAGATGTCCAGTCTGCAATCTTGTTTATGTCTTTTTGGAGCCTCTGCTGAATTGCAGGTGGATCTGTGACTACAGCGGAAGTACTTAAAGTTGCGTCGTCTGCGTAGATGTCTACAGTTGACTTAGAGACTGAGTTTGGGAGATCATTTACAAAGATGATAAATAGCAGTGGTCCCAGGACTGATCCTTGCGGAACACCGTGTGTGATCAGCCTGTATTCATATGCATATTCTCCATACTGTGGTCTATACATTTTCTAATTTGCTGGCAAGGAGAATCTGTTTAACAATCAAGAGCTTCTTTGCTAGTGATCATTTCCTTTCTTCTCATGACCTAGATGTGTGATTCGGGGCTGATGTGGTGAGGAGAAATTTGATGCTAGTCACTCTTAGGGTTTGAAGGATTAGATATGTAGTATGCCAAAACATTCCAGGAAGTTTTTATGTGAAGTTTAAAACACATTTGGGCACTTTCACCTACTGCCTCCTGACTCTCATTAAACTTACCATTTAGCTTTGCAAAAAGGAAAAGGCAAAGACAGGGCTGCTGGCTAGTTCTATATCTTATTAACCAAGCACGACGGCCATACTGGGAGAAGAGCGCAGTGAGGTCCGTACAAAAAAGACCGAGGGCCGATATTCTTCCAGTATGGTCCCGAGCAAGCTTGGTTAATAAGAGCTTTATTATACGACTGAAGTTCAAAGGGACACAAGTGCCGTATCATTCAGGAACATTCGGGACAGTGCCCGATCCAATACTGAGAGAATATTGACCGGCAATAGAGCATTTTGATTGGTTGATTTTAGTTATTGGCCCTCTGACTGCCCGAGTCGTGTAAGTCGTGTATCTAGTCTGTTTAAATGTTCTGGAAATTGTGATATCTCATAGAGAAGGAGGGAGAATTCCTATTCAAATGCAGTGCCTATCACATGCACCAAAAAAACTGACTTCAGTTGACAAACCTTTTGAAGAGAAGCCAGCCAGTCCATGTAGTAAAGTTCTGGACCTTCTGCATCATCATAACCAGCCAGCAGCAAATTGACTTGGTAAGCAGACTAGGAAATCGATAAATAAATTTTATTAAACTTTATCAAGAATCCAATTAATTCAAGTTTGATTTTCACTGTGTAGGTTGAAAGTGTGCTGATAATTTATTTCAAGAAAAAGCTTGAGTTGAAGCCTCTCTCTTTCTTTTCAATCAAACTCTTCATTCAGAAGCTACACGACAAATGAGAAGATAACTTGTACTTACAGAACTTCGTAAAGCATCTGCTAAGTTCCGCCTTGTGAAGTTGGCTGCTGCATGAGGAGTAAGTTCATAGCCTAACAATTCATGCGAGAAGAACATGAAGTAATCATAACTGTTTTTCCACAGGAACAAACTACACTATTTTACAAATCTATCATTGTTATTTTATTCTGGTAATACATAAACTTTGAGGATTCTACACTAGAGGTTTCTAAGTGGTCCTAGAACATTAGCTAGTGTTACCAGAGGTACAACAGGTATGACTTGGGGTGGTATAATCTTTGGCTGGATTTTCAACTCTAAATTTTTGCCAATTGTCACAGCTGTAACCTGGAGTGCACAAATGTTATCAAGGAGATCAAGATAGTGCTGCACGCTTGTGATCCTTCACCATGACCATGTTTAATTTAAACAACAAAAGATTCTCATCTCTTCCCCCCACCTCACCACAGTTTCTCCAGTTCCTAAGCTCCTCATAGAAATGTCTTTGTCCCCAAACCTTCCCCTGGTTTACAAAATCGAAAATTCACGGATGCATCGAACGACTTTTTAAAAAAGATAAATACTAAGCCCTTGCTTGGCAAGAATACGCCACAGTTAAGGCTACCACAGTCATTTGGTAAAAATATCAATGTATCTCATTTCCAAGACCCACCATTTCTCATCTTGTACAGCTGTATATTTTTTTCCATGTACTCAGCAAACTGCACTGTGTCTCCAGCTTCCCCAGTCACCAGCATCAACAGTTTGCTGCTCAACTTGAACATTTTGTCCTGGTCTGAACAGAAGACATTCATAATAACTCAGTAATCTACTAAGGGGTCATGTGGAAATAAAACCGTTAGGAAGTTCAAATACAACTTTAATTTCTCCCAGTGTTTTACAGGGTAATTCAACATAACTTGGAAGGGGAATTTAATACATGGTGGGATAAGCATGGGGTTTAAAACATTTTAAAGCATCAAGGCATTCCTATGATTATGGTAGTCTGGGAAAAAATTGAAATGAGAGGCCTTTACTGACAATAGTGCATAGTGGTGCTGGTACCCAGTTCCAAGCCACCTTGTGAAAACACTGGATAGTGTTAAGTGTGTTCTGCACTGGATTAAGAAGTTCAGGATCAATTCCTGACCAGTTCACTGTGCTGGTTCTTAGACATGACATTTCACTCAACTTCACATTAAATCTGTCCACCCAGGAATATTAAAGGGGAAACACAAATTGTTAAGAAAACCTGACATAGGTAAAGGTAGAGTCTATAATTGACCCAGGTGACCCACAAGGCACCTGAGCTTAACCCAGTTCCCATCGCAAGGAGCAAGCAGGAGTATTACCACTTCCCCCTTGCGGATGGGATCCTATTCCATCACTCTGTCACACTTCCCTGACATTTTGCCACAAACCATTTACACACCTGAGTGAAGAAGGATTCTGTGAGAGTAAAGTGCATTGCCAAGGACAAAACACAATTAGCCTGCCAAGTTTCTGAAATACCCAGAAGGAGGATGTGCAATACTCATAGTTACTTCATGCAACAAAATTCAAGATAAGCTCCTGCATTAACTGGGGTCCCTTGACTCTTTAAACATAACTGAACATGTGGTTAGAATTATTACCCCGACTATGATAAAGATTTACTGCCAAAGGAGGGGCAGAGATAATCTTTGGTGAGGAATTTCAAGGAAAATTTCTTTAGGTTAGGAATTTTTGTACATTGTCACATTTCTAATTTGAATTTTTTTTCTTCCCTGAGGTTCTACTTAAGATTTTTCTTAATCATAATTTCAGCCTCTTCAGAATCTTGTTCACTTTGAAAAATCTAACGAAGAAAGAGAGTAAAAAAACCTAAAGGAAAAACAAAGGTAAAATCTCCTGGATATACATGCAGTTAAAAGATGACAAGTCTTTCCTTAAGTAAAATCTTTCAAAACAGTTATGTATAAATAAATATGCTACGTGTAATTACATCGATTGGATTTACAGTTTTATAAAGGTTTCACCTAACATATCTTTTCTTAAAACAAACAAAAGAGAACATAAAACTTAAAAGCAACAAAAATCGGTAAACTTTGACAAAGACCTGAGTCATGGTCAGTGCCCAACTGGCCTCATGGCGGCGTTCGGATGTCACGCCACATTTCTCGATCAAACGCAAATACAGCGATCCTTTCACGGATGCATCGAACTGAGAAATAACCTTACCATCTTTCATGCGTATAATACTTCTCCCACTACCAGAATCACTAGCAACCAGGACAAAGTCGGGACCTTGAATTCCTATTAAACACTCCATATTGTTGAAAATCTCACGATGACTTAGCGACCGAGCCGTAAATTGCGGGCTGAGATATTCAGCACATTCACTCAATTAGCATGCGTAGTCTCGGCTGTAAACAAAATGGCGAACAAGAGGAGGCTTTGACATTCTAAAACCGATCTCGTGGGTAACAGATATCACTTTATGAATATGCGGATTGTAACTTTCAACCGCAAGATAATTTTCGCAGGTCTACTTGCCTGTCTCGTAATCGCAATTATATGGACAATGTATCGCCCAGTAAAACATGGGAACATTGATCATTCTAGATATACCATTTATGAACGTTTCGAAAACAGAAAAACAAACCTTCCAAAAAGATTTTCTGCGGCTACAAACGCCCAAGGAATAGTTGCAACTGTGCTTGTCATAGCCTGCAACAGACCAGAAGTGGAGAGATGCCTGGACCGATTATTAAGATTTCGACCATCGGAAAAGAAGTTCCCTATAGTTGTCAGCCAAGATTGCGGACACGAGGAGACAGCTAAAGTTATTGCCTCTTATGGAGACAAAGTCATGTATGTAAGACATCCTGACGTGTCCGACATAAATGTGCCTGGAGGTGCAGATAATTTAAAGGGTTACTATAAACTATCAAGACACTATAGATGGGCTTTATCGCGGGTTTTTGATGTGCTTCATCAAGATACGGTTATTATTGTTGAAGATGATCTAGAGATTGCTCCTGACTTCTTTGAGTATTTTGAGGCTACTAAAACATTGCTTGATAAAGACCCTACAGTATGGTGTGTATCAGCGTGGAATGACAATGGAAAAACCGGAAGGGTGAGGGGTAATGATTTGCTCTACCGAACTGATTTTTTTCCTGGTCTAGGATGGATGCTGAAAAAATCTCTCTGGGAGGAGTTGGCACCTAAGTGGCCTGCAGCATTCTGGGATGACTGGATGCGGCATCCAGAGCAGAGACGTGACCGTGCTTGCATTCGTCCTGAGATACCTCGTGTGGTGACATTTGGAAGGATAGGAGTTAGTCGGGGCCAATTCTTTGATGAGCATCTCAAATATATTAAGCTGAATGATGAATTTTATCCTTTTACAGAAAAAAATTTGACATACCTCATGAAAGATGTATATGATGCAGCATTTATCAATACAGTGTACAAATCACCATTAGTTTCATTTGAGTATTTTCACTCAGGCCAGGTGATGCCTGCTCCATCTGTGAGGGTTCAGTATGAATCCGAGGAAACCTTTAGGTCATTAGCAAACCAACTAGAAATCATGAATGACTTTAAGGCAGGAGTACCAAGAATGGCATATAGAGGTGTGGTTAGTTTTATGTACAAAAATTTAAGAGTTTATTTAACACCACCCAGAAACTGGAGTGGATATGAATACCCTGAATGATTCTAATTCCCAGTGCTCCAAGTTGTGAAAGCCATGTTTTGTAGTCAACAGTGCACTTAAAGTGCCCATAATGTCAAAAAACGCTTTTTACTCATCTAATTCTACATTTGACCAAATGAACTTGGGTGAAAAATTCTTTTGATTTGGATAAAACACGATTTTTTCACGAATTTTTACAAAGTTCAAAATTCTATTTTCTTGCGGTCGACCCCTGCCGCTGATCACAAGAATAACGTGCTCAAAATGACCACGTGACTGATATCTGTGACGTAGGTTCAGGAACCTCAGTTGACCTTTAAGTGCATATAAATACACTGGTCGAGTGTGGGTCGTTTACGATATTGTGAGCTTACGATATTGTGACCACTCTGAAGCAAATTCCCACTTTTTTTCAAGTCAGATAAGTCACAACCCAAAATCACTTGTTCCTGAACTTACATCATGACTCACTTTAAACTGAGGAAGACTGGTGCGAATGGTGGACCAAAATGCCGGCAAATTTGAATGTCTTATGCGTTTTATCCAAATCGAAAATTTTTTTTTCCCAGAAGTTCATTTGGTGAAATGTAGAATTAGATGAGCGAAAAACATTTTTTGACATTATGGGCGCTTTAAACACAATTTATCATACAAAAAAATATACTCAGAAATCAGGTGATTTGTTTTGAATTTGATTTGTTTTGAAGAATTTCACTTAAATTTTTTTTTCAGCCTCTTGCTAGCCATATTATACATAACCTGCATTTAGTCAGACTTACTTGATACCTGTGGTGATAGGGGACTCTGTGGTAGAGGGGAGGAAGGAAAGGAAATCAAGATAAGAATTATAGTAAACTATTTTACAAAAGTAAAACGAAACGTACAATCATCCTATAAAGAGAAACTACTACAGATTATCAAAGTAATCTATAAATTGTACAGTTTCAGAGAAGTTTAATTGCAGGGTTTAAGATTTTGCTTCAATAACAGAGCAATAATCTATTGTGATAATAAATTACTTTGTATTGGAAATCAGTCTAGCTAGAGTAAGTGTATTAAAGAGAAACTATTATCGACTAATTGAAGCAATTGACTTTCTATACTGTTTGAAAGAAGTTTGATTATGACTTTGAAGATTTTTCAACAATGTTATGGCTCTTAATTATTATGAAAATTTTGTCTGGAAACAGTCCAGCTGGGAAATAATCATATATGGTGAAACTATAAAAACTATGAACACAAAAAATATTGGTGTTTTAAAAAAAAAGCCAATTAAGCAGGAGAAAGAAAGCTGCAAATAGCAAGGGTGCTTAGTTTGTTGCTTGAAGGTTTTCTTACATATCCTGAGGATAACCGGTAATCATGATTGGTCAGTACAATGATGACCTGTCAGATTAAAATCAAAATGTTCATGGTTTTTTCTAAGTTTCATGGCAAGAGATATTTTTTTTGTATTGCAATGTGTTTTTCTAAAGATAATTTGCCCTCAACTAGAGAGATATAGTTGCTAAACTGGAATTTTTAAGAGAGATTATTACATATAAAGAAATATTATATGCAATTTTAGTTTTTTTAAGATGTGGTAACAATTGAAATGGATCTACTTTTCACAAGTTTGATAAATAAATATAGTCCTATTTGTCTCAAGAATGGAGGTATTTCCTTTGTCGCAAATCTTTACTTCAGCAGAACCTTATGCAGCAAAATGTCAAACACTCAAAGCTCATATGGTGACCATTTCAAAAGTAGTCCTTCCATAGTGTTATTCCCGCACACTGGATAATTATGGCGAGATACAATACAATTTTGGATCAATCAGAGCTTGTGTACCTCTCTAATCACATGATAATTTTATTGCTGGTAAAAAAAAAATTGACTAAAAATAATAATAAAAAAAATATGGTTTAGACGCAACCTTAACATACCAATCAGTCTCCGCTATCCCATATGTTAAAAAAAAAAAGTAATCGTAATCCGAAAAAATAAAATTTTCAGATCGTTTCACTTCATGACTGCGAGGACTGAGCACAAGAACAGTTGTTGCTAGGATACCAAGATCCCAAGAGACGCGGGCGCAGAAATTAACATACGGCTTTTCGTGAAGTAATGTAATATTCGTCCGGCGGGATGAATTGACCTTCAGCCTCTTCGATTTTATCTATGGTTTCTCAGATAGATCGCTTGCTTTGGGGGTAACTCCAAAGCCTGTTCATGGCACAAGGCGGGAAAAGGAATAACTTCATTTCTCGAACGACCTGTGTTTCGCCCCTGTGGAAACATCCGACCTCGAACAATGTGGTTAAGCTAAGAATGCAACCACCTCAAACGACGTTTACTCCGTTAGATACCTTTCTGGCAGCTCACAGCCCCCGACGATTCTGCCAGGCCAGACAGAAATACATCTTAAGTGAGTATTTAATCATAATTTGGATTCAACGCTTTTCTGTCAGCGTCAAATGACACGAAAATGCAGAGATGAAAATATAATTTGAACACAATAAAAGCACTTACCGTCACGAAGCAGTGAAGGCATGTTTGTTTTGGTCCATGTAGAACCACTGACTGTAGAGAAAAGAATGGCAGATATTGGTTATGCACCTGTCCAGCAGAAAACAAGGAATAATTCGAGGTTGGTAATTATTTCAACGGTAGGGGATTGTAAATGTTTTTACGACTCCTGCTGAAATTTGCATGAGATCGCTTAAGAAAAGTATTTTGTTTGGACGTATTAACAATGGTTAGGCTCAAGTTCCGTAAAGCAGACTTTTTAAGACATCTGTTGATTAAATTTGGTTTTGTTTGTCATTCGATTTTTTTTTCTTTTTTTGATGGCAAAACAAGTTTTCATCATCGATCCGTCCTCCCTGCGAGCAGAGCCTATTCTTCTTTTCTTCTTCTTTTCTTCTTTTCTTCTCTGCTCGCAGGGTATCCTCTGAAATATCATTCAGATCGCAAAGCTTTGTGTACAGTGAACACGTGTTCTCGTTTTAAAGAACCGTCAACAGCGATTCAACTTGACTTGAAGTCAACGCGATGACTCGAACGAAATTATTACCGAGTCAAAGTACTTATCGACTCATCATGACATTACTCAACTAATTCTTGATCTCAGCATTTCATGGTTGACTACGGACCAAAAATACATTACTGACCTATTGCACATCTTAAGTAAAAGTAGTTAAATTGCACCTGATCCACGTATGCTGGTTGTACGAGGTTCGAAAAAGAAAATTTGGTTTAATCTTAGTCTAAACAAGAGTGGCTACTATCTATTGAAATTAATTCTAGTAAATTGGGCTGTAGTTTTTATGAAGATTTCTTTTCTCAAACTAAATTTGTTAAGAGACTAATCTGGGTTTAATTTGCACAGCAACAACAGAATGCCTTCCCCTTCACTTTGATTAAAGTTTAATTGAAGGGCTCATTTGCACTTGAGTTTAACAATAATTGAAAGCCAATTATCAGCAGGTTCTTGAAAAGGCCATCATGTCAAATCCATTATTTTAGAGATGCATCACCAAACAGCAACTGAGAATACAGGAAAACTTGTATTAATCATGCATACACCCATGGGATCCTTTTTAGTGTTCTCTTGTTAGGAAGGGGTGTCTGCTAAATACAGCTTTTACTGAGTAAATTAAACTACTTTGAATAAGAACAATTGTACTGGCTCCCAATTAGACACCTTTACCTCAGTAATCTTGTAAAGTTAATTTGCCCTCCCTGTTTATTCAGTGAAGAAAAGTGTAATTTTAAATTTGGCTATCTAAGCATTTTCTATCAAAACTGTCAAAAAGTGTTTTGTAATGTATTAAACTTCAGGGTACGACTTGGTAAAGTTTGTGTAAATGTGATAGATAAGGAGGAAATAAAGTAAGATTGGGGAGTGGTTGAAAAGAAATTCAAGAGGATTAATTAAGAGGCTGGGAAAAAGATGTTGCCAGACTGAGCTTCTATAGGGGTCGATAAACAGAATAAATTTGCAAAGAACACTTTTGATGAATTACCCTAATAGGAGAAGCTAAAAGCAATGTATGTATTTTGAAAAATCCTGAATAGATGCTGTCACTAAAAAATCAGGACTGAAGCTTAGAGGTTTCAGAATCTGGAGTACATTAAATATGTTCTGGTTGGTTGCCACTGTAGAGAAAACTATGCCAAAATGACAACAGAATGTTGACAAGTGATTAAAGCTGGGCAAACAAAGTCTTGAGAATTCGTCCCCCAATCTTAACTTTCCATTGAACTAAGGTGTAAGCACTGTTAGAGATCTAATAATGTTCCAACAGTCACCATTTCCATTTAAAATGTAATAATTAACCCATTTGGTGCCTCTTTAGTGAGACAAAGACAAGTATCCATAAGAGACAGACAGATGTACCACAAAGAAACCCAAATGGCAACATACCCACAGACAGCAGCAGTGAAAAGGAGAATGGCAACCAAAGAGTTTTACCTCTGGGAAAATGCAATATAGACAATGAAGATCTTGGATCCACTAATTTATCCAGAAGAAGCTTCTTTCCACCAAGGCCTAAACTTCCAGTATCATTAAACCGTAGTGCTTCTTCAATTCCCACAATGCCTCATGGCACAAGTGACCTGATAGCCATAGGAACAATACCGATAACAACTCATAGACAGACTCCAGTGAAACCCATGTCCAGGTAAGGGTTACTGTAGAGAGAAATTAAACTGCCTCCCAGTCAGCTCAATGGATAGAGTGATGGACTGTTGTGCGGGAGGTTGAGGGTTTGAGCCCCGGCCAGACCAACACTCAGGGTCTTAAAATAATTGAGAAGAATTTGCTACCTTTCTATAACATCAAGAAATGGTTACATATTCTAGTCTTCTTGGATAGGGACGAATAAATGGAGGTCCCGTCTCCTGTAGCCTACAGGGTTAGGGGGCAGGAGACGTTAATTTCCCACGCACGAGATTACTGTGTGATGGATGTCCTCCCCTGGGTTGGGATGGGTGGGTTTACTGGGCCTGCAGTAATTGGCGCAAGCTGTTGCGGTGTCCCTGCCGGTCGGCGAAGCTAAATAAATCTAAATCTAAAATCTAAAACCTACACATTCTGTCAGAGTGAAAGAATTAAGTCTGAAAGAATGCAGGATATGTCTTTGGTCCAATCCTCATTGGCAATGCAAGAAAGAATAAGTTCAGCATAAACACACAGCGTTTACACCCTTGTGGGGATGGCTGTGACATGACAAATTACGTAAATGTGAATATCAATCTTGAAATGGACTGAACAGAAATCCTCCAATAAACCAATATTTTGGTTAGGTTCACAACATAATTGATGGGACTTTAAATTCAAATGTCTATGATACTACATCTCCATTATACACATTATTGAAATGCACATGCAGTAATTTAGAAATAATTTTAGATCATTAATTTTTGTGCTGTTACAGTCTTGTTGGGGCAACTTCAAGTTGGACAGATCATCTTCCACTTATAAAATCAAATAAGAAGGAAAAGATTGAACTCTTGTTAGTTATCATTGCAGAGGATTTTAACATATTGCAGTATTTATTGCCAACATCTGCACCTTAGTTATAAAGTACCATCCTTACACGAAACAAATAAGGATCTCGCACAAACCAAAACACCAAGACAACAAGAATGTGGCAATGCAAACAATTTAATGAGATTCCAATTTTCCTCAGCAAAGCGAAAATGAGGAGTAGAAAAAAATTTGCATAGTTTGTGATCAAACACACTGACAGAAAAGAATTCTGGATTCTAGGTGCTACTCAAACAAACTCATGAGGTCCGCCGGGGGCCAGTAAAAAAAGTAAACACTTTGGGCCATCTGTGGACTTTTCTTCAAAATAGGTTAATTTATTTTTTAATTGACATTTTTCTCGCATGACTGCAAACCATTAATTATAGTTTTTTATTAATCCAGTGGGTAGTCTTGTCCATCCTTGGAACAACTGGACTGAGTATAGAACATGTAACATGCTTATAAATACCTCATTGGCATTCCTTTTTCTTTAAATGCTACAAAACTAAACCTTCACCATTCAAAATATAATTTTCTACAAATAGAACCATTTAAACACCTTGTAGTCAACATGTTGTTAAGTCAACTCTCCAATAAACAAAGAAAAAAATTAATTCACTAGACAAAATAAGAAACCTTGAATGGAACAGCTATAGGTCCTACTCTCAGGCAATTCGATATTACAAAACTCAAATGAATAAAGGGGGTAAGTTTTCTAAAGAAACTGTGGTGCTGTGTTGGTGTGGGGGGGAGGAGGGGGTGTATAACAAGTCAATTTGGTTTTATCAACTGAGTTGATATTATAACTTAATTTATAAGCCACCATAAAGAGATTCAAAAGCAAATGTTGCAAGTGTTAGCCTGAGTTCTGATGAAAGGGCTAACACTCAAAACGTCCGCTTCAGAATCTCTTTACAGTGGCTGATTTACTTTATCAACTCCAATGATAAATCAAATTATCTTACAACAAAACTCACTCTTGAGGAAAGAAACATTTTGTGAAAAAGCCATGAATTATTATAATCCATATTGATACAATAATGTTCCTTTAACACATCCATTCTCCTTACTGGTTTAACCTCTAATGGCTTCTAATAAAAGCAAATTATCTTATTATAACAAAACTCACTTTTGAGGGAACAAATATTTTGTGATAAATCATGGTAATTGAACTGAGTGGAGTGAAATTTGGGCTGAAATCATATGCGTGATTTCAAATTGAATGAGCGCGTAGAATGAGTTCGATTTGAAATCACAAGTATTTTTTCAGACCAAAATTGCAGGACACCAGGTTCAATTACCACTTTATTACATCCATTTTGAAATTGCCCAAATACGAGACTTGGTCAATACAAATATTTTATTGATGCAGTACTGAGCCGGTTTTTAAATAAAAAGCGGAACCGGAAACGCTTTTACATCTTATTTTGTATGCAAAACAGAAAGACTTTGACATCATGTGTCAAAAACACAGTCAAGCATAAAATGATGCGATTTAGAGCAAAAAAATGGTGCGATTCATGAATAAATTGCATCAATTAGAGCCAATCAGATTACAGGGACCACCAGTGATTTCAAAATGGATGTAATAAAGCCATGAATGATTATAATCAGTATTGATACAATAATGTACCTTTAAGACATCCATTCTCCCTACTGGTTTAACTCTTTAACCTCTAAGAGTGACTGGCTTCTAATTTCTCATAACACTTTCACTGCTGTGTCAAACAGTAATGTCATGAGAATAAAGGAATTGATCACCAACTCAAGAAGTACTTGATTGTTAAAAAAAAAAATTATCCTTCAGGGCTCAATATTAACAGTAGCCCACTATAGCCACAGACTAGTAGAAATTCAGTTTTGGCAAGTGGTTTTCAATTTCCACTAGCCAGTTTGGCAAGTAAACAAACTGAAATTGTCATAACATCTAAAAACATCTAAGATGTCACTATAGCCACTTAGCTAGTAAGTTGAAAAGTTAGTGTGGAGCCTTGTCTGTAGCATTGGAAATGTGTAGAGAACAGCATGGGGAATGTGTATGCTGATGCCTAAGGATGCAAAGGGGTTAAAAAGGTCAGAATGGCATTAAGGTTTAAATAAAAAAAAATTGCATAGCTTTTAAAAAGTTCAATAGCTTCACATTTATGAAATGATGTTTAAGATCAGTCACATTGTTGTTAGTATACCTTTGAATAACATTGTAAATAATGTGTAATTAACTTTTCAGATCTTCATCTGAAGAGGAAATTCAACCTCTACACAAGACAAAACCAGGAGGATTGTTAGTTTTAATTTCAGTAATTGTATTAAACATTTCATTAATAACCCTCAAATTCTTAGGACAAATGTTCACTGATATAATAAAACAATATTAACCCTAACATTTTTAAAATAACTTAATTGCAAAACTCAACTTAACATTGTAATATCAAAACAAATCATTACATATTATAATAACGATTATATAACATAAACTTACTGCAAAACCTGCAAGAAAGCAGGCATTAGAATACTAACTACACTTTATATAGCTGAGAATAGAAAATCAATTTTCTAGTGATCTATACCTGAAGCAAATCACTTTTAAGTCTTAAAGAAAAATTTACTTTTGGAATTTCTGATTCCAAAATAGCATTTGAAGTAAGCCAAATATTTGAGTCCTATGAGAACCTTTTACCTTTGAAATCATACATCTTACCCCTAAGCAATGATTTTATAAACTGGAAATATATCTTATTAACCAAGCGCGAGGGCCGTACTGGGAAAATATCGGCCCAAGGTCTTGACAGTACAGACCGAGCGCAGCGAGGTCCATACAAAAAAGACTGAGGGCCAATATTCTTCCAGTACGGTCCCGAGTAAGCTTGGTTGATAAGAGATTTATTATATGACTGAAGTTCAAAGGGACACAAGTGCGGTATCATTCGGGACCATTCGGGACAGTGCCCGGTCCAATACTGAGAGAATATTGACCAGCAATAGAGCATTTTGATTGGTTGATTTTAGTTATTGGCCCTCTGACTGCCCGAGTCGTGTAATGATAAGTATATATTGATAAGTTCCTAAATACTTAATAAATGATTATTACCATTTGCTGGTTTGTTGGCTTGTTTCCCTGTTTATTTATTTTTTTAGTATTCATCTATTCAGTATGTGAATGGAGCTATTCATTTGAGCAGCCTTTCCAAAATAAATCTCTATAAAATAGTAAACAAGTTTAATTCTCATTCTACTTTTCATTTCTGTTCTTTTTTTCTTTTTCTAGGTGGAAAACAAAAGCAACTTTAAATCTTAAAGGTGAGATTACGCTTAAAATGTTTCTTATATCTGCTTCCCACAGATCAATAAACGAAAAAAAAATCCCATGAGACACTCATGAGAGCTTAATTGTGCTACCGTCTCATTTTAGTTGAAAGCTACCAAGACTGCAACTTGACAGAAAAGAGTTTACATTATTTCACAGTATCACAGAACAAAAAGATAAAATCAAAACAAAATAATTTGTGTAAATAGTCCTTGTAGGGCAAGTGTTACAAAATTTTTAACAAACAGCATTGCTCAAATGGGAATTTTTTTTTCCTGGGGGGGGGAGAGAGATAAAACAGAAAGGTAGTCACACATGTAATCAAACATTAAAAAACATTCCTTTTTGCACATGTTGAAAGCCAGTGAATTTATGTTTGTAAAGACAGCTCTCCCAAACATATTTCATCCAGGCGTGACTTTCTGAATTTGTGCTGTAGCTTCTATCCAGAGACAACACTTCTCTGGAACCCCAAGGGTAGTTGATCAAACATGTCTTACACCTCTTTGCTATGGTTCAACAAAATCACATGTTTGATAGTCCATATTTTTTAAACTTTCAGAACTTTATTCCTCAGGATGCAAGTATCCAGACCCCATGGTAGGTGCAGGCCCATCTTTTCAAGGGAGAATCACAGAAATGGCACAGCTAGAAGTGGAAACAATAAGATTTGAGAAGACAAAAAAGACAAGAAAAAAGGTCTCAAGCTCATAGCTATAATTGACTTTAATGACTTTATTAACTTCTATTAAATTGTTAGTTAAAGTTTTATTAAATTTTAATTCAAAACAATAGATATATGTGCAAATTCAGTTTTTTCAGTTCAAAAACTCTTGTTTTTTCATCAAAACTATATACTTCTGCTGTCAGCTGTTAGTAAACAGAGGAGAGGATGGACTTCTTTTTTAACCAGAATATTCCTGTAATTTTTTCTTATCATACAACTAGTATGTACATCTGTCTCTGTACATATATCGATGATTTGAGAGAAGATACAACAACTTGTAAATAAATATTTATGACAATAGTATTTAAGCTCCAAGCACGATTAATATCGTTAAAAGAAACTGTGTAGAGAAAGTAATATCAAAGAAAATTAAGTTTGGTCTTTAAGTTATCTTAACCACTTCAAAATATGCTAATAGCATAGAGAGTTCTGAGAATCTGTGTTGTTAGTAAACCCTAAAGGCCTGTAAGTTATAGAAACACTGAGAATGAGAATTTTTGTACAAACTATAAGTATAAGAGTCACCAAGCAATGCAATGTGTTCTTGCCACATAATAATGCAGGAACAATTATTTATTACTCTTATACATTCTTACAAAGGCATCACACAAAAAACTGTGTGTGAATCTTAACACTCCTCTTGGATTTCAGACATTCTGTCATGTATTACTTACTGACTGGAGGAGTGTTGTTATTCCTTGTAAATCCACTCCAATGTCATAACAAAGGAATCGTTTTCATTAGGATAAATATTTTAACACTTTGTCTTTACAGCTGTCTAAAGAAAAGTTTATTTCACAAAAAATTTAATGTTAATCAACATTATCCTCACTAACATCATTATTGCTATAAATTTTTCTTTCGTGGAGGTGAAAAATAAAGTTATATTGTCAAGCATGTAGAACCCATTTTATCTTCAATTAAAGTAACTGAATCATTCTTTTGATAAACTCTTTTTATTTCCTATTACTTTTTCCCAAATTTCTATTGGTGAAACTGCTGTACTAAGTACCAAGCTCCCTCTCCAACAAGTTTCCATGTCTTGAGCTTAAAGTTAGTGATAAACCCCACCCCGACCTTCAATAACCCTCCTCCCCACATTCAAAACTCTAAAATAGCAGTTTCATGTGACACATTTAGTGTTACTGCATATAATAAACTTATCTACAAGAGCCTGTAGTAGTTATCAATGTAATATTGAAAGTCTTCAACCAAAGAAATGTATACTGATAAAGGAAAATGCATGTTGGCCTTTGGCATGTTTTTTTTTTTTTTTTTCTTTGACTCCCCCCTCAATCTTCCAAAGGATCCCATCTTAGAGTAGCTTTAATGCAAGTGTGTATTGTTACCACACAGAGACAAGTGAAACATCAAATATCCCATCTCCCTTTTCTCCCATTTTCCATTTCACTGTTGATTTTTCCCTATTCCTCTTCTGTCTAAAATCTATCGTCTAGTTCTTCATCGTTCTCGCCCCAAACCTCTCAAACATTTCTGCTAATTTGCCATCTCCATCTCGTGTTTCGATAGCCAAAGATAAACTTGAAACACAAAACGAGTAAATGAAGCAATACTCGAGAGGATAATGCATTCACTAGGTTTACATTTCATTTTTTCCTATTTTTATTGCGGTTGTTTAAAAAACAAGCGGTTCAGTGATGACTTTGTTGCAAATCGTGCTGTATAAATGAATGGAAAGCTCCTCAACTATTCCCTATCGAGGTGGAACACCCGACAGAAAGCAAGCACCAGTTGTCGCTGGTTATAAAGGACTCGCCTAACACATCACCCTAATGAACCGTTTCGCGTTTTATCTACTTTCTTTTCCTACTAAAACGCAATCTTCGAACAACAAGTTGGCGGTTCCAAAAAGTTAAGTAGGCAACCAGTTATTAATTGTTTAAAGAAAAGACACCTTCAAAATCCCCTAATTGCAAGCTGGTACCAGTTATTCATTTACAATCCATTACCACTTCGTTCGATTTGGTATTCACAGCACATGTCACCTTGAAAGCCTTGCAGGTTAGCTGTGATGGAAAGACTTCTTAACAAACAAACTGTGATTTTGTCTTCAAAGTAGGTATACAAGTCGATGCAAACTCTTCCATGAGTCTTCTTTAAGACTGCAACGAAATAACACAAAACCCCTTAAGAGAGAGAGCCTTTCAAAAGTAGTTAGCTAGAAAGGATGTTTTTTAATTCCTTCCTCAAGAAATTTTGGATCGTTGTTTGCCATTCAATAATGAAATCAAATAAATCGACCCGAAAGATTAAAAATGGTTTCCAGCTCCCTTATGAGTTTCATGGGTGACAAAAAAGACCGGTGGGAGTTTCATTCAATTATGAACGGTGTTTGCGCCAGTTGGTGTAACAAGCCGAGGACATGGCTATAAATGCCACACAGATTTTAAGCCTGATTGACAGTGCGTGTTCCGTTAATATTTGCAACGAGGCTTTCCTATTTAGCAGGGAGTGCAAAAGAACCCTTGATCAAGAGCGACTTTTTAGAGGTGCGCACAAAGCGAGTCATCAATCGTGTACGTCGCTTCAAAACACTCGCGCCCACTTCTTTGATTTTAAGCAACTACTGCGCAGGTTTCGACTGGCCAAAGTAATCCCCCGTTCGCTACGAGGAGGAGCTAACGCTCACAGAAACGGTGACCACTTTACATTATCACCTTAGTTGATAAAACCAATTTATCTCACAATCACCGGCTTGACTTTGAAATGAGAAGCAACGATGAAACCTTTATCAAGATAAAAAAACGTAGCTTAAAATCGACTAGAATCGCAACGCCTAACATTTCAACCGACGATGAAAAAAACGTTAGAATTAAGAACCTACATAAAATTGTTCCAAACTTTCCTGAACTAAATCAAGTCCTTTAAAAGACCGACTTTCTCAAGTCAGTAACATTCAGTGTATTGTGTTTAGCTGTTGACAAGCCGTCTACGGGTCTAGGTTTGGCAAGCCGCTTAAAACTTGATGGGCGATCTCGCGAATGTCAAACAACCAAAATATCTGTTTAAAGACTGTACCTGTCCACGTTTCGAAAGTCCATTACGCTACCATAATAAGTTATTAATTCAAGCATTAATTCAAGCTGTTTTAAGGCTGCTTGAATTCTTCTCGAACTTATTTTACAACTAGACACTTTCATGTCCATGTGATTATAACAACAGTTACAAGTTTTCGATTTCGGATTTACAGCGATTTTCAGTTGCCTTTAACCTTTTTATTTTTCTCATTTGAAATCATCCCTTTCTGTAATTGCAGGTGTAAAACACGGAAATTTCAAAGATACGGAACCACTAACAAGTACACGTCTGTGCCACGCGGAACTCATACATTTGGCCCGTGATTCTTCCCCGATTTTTAAGTGCAGCCAAGTCTTGCAGCTGGCAGCAATGGCTCTTTTCCGGCCGCTCACATTCACACCCACGCAAAACTTGAAATTTGTTCAATATGTTCTCGCTGACACCTGTGTTCACTGGGTCACCAGATCTTCCTGCACACCGGCATGGTCTCTGTAACCGGATTAGTATATGAGAAACATTTCCCACGCAATGCCGGCGTCGAGACTCAAACGATGCTTAAATATTTTGGTCATTTCACTGAGTTAAAAGGGAGGTAGAAGGTAGCAAAGATATCCTTACAGGGTAAGATAAATGGAAAAAGAAAGAATGAAGGACTGGAAAGGCACAGTGAAAGAGACCTCAGGAACGTTTAGAACAAACCAATCAAAAACAAGCCGCTACAAGAGTTGGAAGAATGTTTCCAAAGAACTTCCAATACATGATTAGCAGTTTATAAGACAGATGCTAGCGGGCGGCTTTCTCTTTTATACTGGACAGGACCGCTCATGTTCGCATAGCCGTTCCTAAAATATGTCATGGCCGTTGTTCAGTAACATGCCGGAAGTCTTTCGGACAACAACAAATGCAAAACAGACATTACCGCATGTAGGCAATTAAACGCTAGTTCAGTCTTCTAATTGGTTAGTAGTCGTCGGAAATAGTCTGCATGCTTTCCCTGTCACGTAAAGAAGCTATGTTAAATATACAGCGGACTTCAAAACATTGACTTAACATTGTTGCACTCGGACATTCAATACCAAAACATTCGATCTTTCACTGATTCAGTCGCACAAAGCAACCTAAAACTGAGTGTTTCGACTAAAGGGAACCTCTCGATCCCACCGACGTTTTCTATACTGACTTTTACATCCTGGAGCCTCCAGATTCCCTCCGCG